ATCTTACAACTTAAATTTTGAATTTTATCCACAAAATAAATATTAATTATTAGTAAATTTAAACTTTAGAGTATTTTAATACGAGTTTAAAATAGAGTATAGAAGTTGAATTTATACTTATATGAGCAGTCAGATGTCCATTACACGCTCTTGTTTTGGTTTCAAATAAAAATGCAAATAAAGATAAAAGCTTTGTTATTTTTTTTATTTAAAGATTTAAATTTTGTTTTTTTAAATACAATAATAAATTTTTAATTTTTTCTATTTAAATATGTTAATTTTATATTTTTTATTAAAAATTAATTAAATGGCTAAGAAAATCATTTGCCACATCATTATCATTATCTTATTAATTCTTAGATTAAAAAATACAAAAATTACATATGTAAATAAAACAAGTTGAAAATTAATATTTTTAAATAAAAAAATTAAAATTTTATTGCATTATTTAGAAGTTAACAAAGTTTACATCATCAAATAGAAAAAATTGTAAATTTTGTATTATTATCTACAACTTTTCTCATGGTTTTCATCTCACTCCTTCCATGCCAAATCAACTGCCAATTTTTTAATTTTTAACATAAATAAATATTTTTTTAATCCTAACATTATCCATTTAATTTAATTATTTATCTTATAAAAAAACTCAACTTTATCTTCTATTTTCTTTAAAATTGAATAAAATATAAGTGAATATATAAATTATTTTAAAATTTTTAATTTTAAAAAATTTTAAAAATTATAATTATTTACCTTTCAAAATAATAATGATAATTATTATTATTATTTTGGAACAAAATTTGAGTAATTAAGGCGAAATTTTCACCCAACACCAAAACAACACTGTATTGTGACTGCCAAGAAATTTATTGAAGTTGACGTTAAGATTGTACAGTATGGGGGAGGGAACACGAGAAGAATTAATTACAACCACATGCAGGTTACTTCGGATAATTTCGTTTTTAATAATTTAGGTATCTGATTAGCTATACTACATTTAATTTTCTGGTAGTACAAACAATCTAAAATCTTACATTGAACCAAAAGTTTGCTTGCCACTCTATAATTTCAGGGGAATTAAACTCTCTGTCTCCGTTCTCTCTGTTTTGAAATCTGGGGAAGCCATGCTCGCTACAACTCTTTTTGCAAGAAAATGGAATCATCTTTCAACAATTAAACCCCTGTTCCTGTTCTCCAAGGTATGTCAGTCTTGCTCCTTTTTTCTTTTTTCCTTTTTTCTTTCAGAAAAAAAAAAAAATAGTTGCAGTACGTTGATAGAATTATTTTTCCATGCAAAAGCAGTAGTCCTCTTTTCGAATCTCTTCCTAATATCTTGTTCCGATTTCCATTCTGGAATACAGATCAAGTGGTTCATCGCTTGGTTTGGTGGAAATCACCCCAAGGTTGAGTTCAAGTCTTAGAACTCTCATTTCCTAAAAAGGCAAAGTAGTAATTACCTCTTTTAGATAAAAAAAAAAAGGAAATATCTATTTTGTCCCTAAGTTGAATATTACATCTTTGAATTGGGTCCCTAGCTCTTAATTCATTGTAAACTGTTAGATATAGACGTATGCAAGGTCGCAATGGGAATAATACTGGATTTTTCTGTGTAGTTTTTTTATGGTTTTTTAGTAGTAGTTTACCTATAATAGTTTTTATTGTATATATTAAATTGTAAAATAAGTATTATTAAATAAAAAAA